TATGGCATTGCTGAGAATATATATATATATATACATACATTACATACATGAAGTCAAAAACGTAAATAGTTTCTGCTTATGGCATCCTCTTTGTTTGGTCTGAAGTGTGCGAAGAGGTTTTCTCTTTCGTAAAAATACCTAGAGCATAGCTTATTACGAAATTGAACCGATTAAACCTCTTTCCTTGCTTTGGAGATCACCTTTACACACGAGGCAAACATAAACATTCAAACTGAAACAGTAAGGTGCTTCACCTCGTTCGCATTGTGTATTACTGAGCCTAACTTTCAATAGCAAAAATTGCAAGAAGTTATTTATTTAATTTTTAATTGTATTTGCCTAACTCTTACGCCAATCTTCTCTTGATAAAATCTGTTATCCTAAACAATTTTGAAGAAATCTTTAGCAATTCCAAAATTGTTTGGAATAATTTTCGTCATTTGTTTTAACTCACAACAAGAAAAAGTTGGAAAAAAGGAAGTAAGATCTTTTAGATTTTTAAAAATATTTAACTTCATTCGGCCACTTTCAGAACATGGATTATTTTGGAAATAAATCACTATGTAATTGTTTTTATTTTGTTTCAAATATAAAAAGAATTACTGCATTGAGAAAAGTATAAAAACAGTATTCTAAAAATTTTAATAGTTATGAGTAACAAATTTTAATCTTTGTGTATTATTTTGTAAATGCTAATATTATTGCTTAAAGCTTTAATATTCTTAAAGTATTAAAAAATTCTATAAAAATACATGTTTTAGTTAAAGAGTTTGATCAATTTCTTAAAAGGGTTTTGAAAAAGTAGAAATTAAATTAAAAAAGAATATATGTTCCTTAAAAAATACACGCAAATTTCTGAAGGATGATTCTGGCTTAAATATTAAAAGAACTATTCTCTATTTTAATATTTAAAAAAATCTCATAATAAAAAGCTAGGGGCACAAAAGACGATATTTTGTACCGACAAAATTTATCATAAAAACCTTTTCAATTTAATATGCAAATATTTAATTTTTAAAATAAGAATTTGATGCATGGATTGTAAAATGATAAGAGATGATTTCTGAAATGAAAATTTGTATCAAAATCATGATGAATATTACTCGCATAACTTCTATGGAAGATTTTGTTTTTAATAGTTTATATAGTCTTGGTTAGTTCTATGCACTCACTTAAAATGAACGAGTTAAGACTACTCAACTTAGTGAAATTTCTCTCATTCGTCTAGAAAAAAGGAGCCTTCTCGTCTCAGTTAAATTCACTCAAATTTGAGTGAATAATTTTAAATCGAACTTGAGTGAAATTAAATCGTGTTTGGTTGACTATCAGTATTACTTGAGTGAATCGTTTTAAGTATAACTTGAGTGATTTTCAATCGTTTTTGATTGATTACCTGTATCGCTTGAATGGATCGTTTTAACTCGAACTTGAGTGATTTTCAATCATTTTTGATAGACTATTAACATCATTTTAATGCATGATTTTAAATTTAATTTGAATGAATAATAATTATTTTTGATTCATAATTAGCATCCTTTGAGTTTATTTCAATCATAGAGTTATTTTCTATCATTTTGTATTCTTTTTACTTGAATGTTATTTAAATCATATATGAATTAAATTAATCACTTTCAGACTATTCATTGAATCTTTATTGCTTATCGTAAATAGGATTAAAAGAAAAATATTTTTGGCATACGTAACAGAAATAATCTATCAGCTTCTTTTAAATTTTATTGATGGTATGTTCGGTAATTAATAAGTTTCGTTTTTTTTAAGTTTTAAAACTAAATTGTAATAGTTGAGAAGAAAAAGTAAAGCTTATTCATCTGTATTTCACAATTAATATACTCAATATAATTGCAAGATAATACTTTTCAGAGATTGTAAGCTTTGTGAGAGACTTAAGTACAAAATTTTAATGATTTTTTACTATTTGCAACGAAATAAATTTTTTTATTGTTTTTATTAACAGTTTAGATAATTTTTCATTTTATATAAGTATTCAAATAGTAATTAAAAAACCTAATTAGTACGTTAAATCTTACTTAACCATTTCCATGCTAGTTCTGATAAACATAACTCTGATTCTACATTCAATTTTTTATTTAGATCTAACATTTCTAGTTACTACTTTATTTGGTTTACTAATGTATACTTATAAAAAATGTTTAGATATTGGTGAAAGGCAAGAGCATAACGTCTTTTTAACAGGGTACCCACTTAATTTCAGAAACAAAATTCCCTGATTTTTTCCAGTTAAATTTCAATTAAAATCGAGGCCATATTTTATCTATATCATGTAATATTTCATCAGGAAACTTTTACTCTTTTGTTTGTAATACCCAAATACTATTAAGATTTTCTGTGTAAAAAAATATCGTTAAATGAGGATGGGAACATTTCAGTTTGACTAAAATGTGAAATTTTTATAAATAATTGTAATAGATGTTAGAATTGTTTAACTCAAATCTAATGACTGTTACTATTACATTTTTAAGACTGGCTATTTTCCAGGTATAATATAGGAATTTTTTAGGATTTTGAAGAAAGAAAAAGTCAACTTCCCTGATTTTTGGAGTTAAAATAAAATTCCCTGACAATTTCAGGTTTCGCCAGCTCCTTCTGACCCGTAGGAAACGTGTTTAAATCGTTCCTTTGATTAACTGTAATTTACAAGCGAACTGAACGAAATTTAATCGTACTTAAAAAAACATAATTAAAACTTTTTTTTCCAATGGCAGGCCAATTTAAAAGAACAAAAAGGATAGAATAACAAGAAAAACAAGGCAAAAAGAGATAAATAGAATAGAATGCATAGTGACATGCTTAGCCCATACGGGCCCTAGTCTCCCAGTAGCGTCCACACACAGTAGTGGAGATGAGCGCAGGACAGACGGAAATATGGGGCAAGTCCATGTCCTCCCCAAGGCGACATTTAGGACAGTCAAAAATGTTTATACTAAAAAGGTGTTTGGCCAGACAGTCATGGCCCGTTATAAGTCTAAAGAGAGCAACTGCCTTAAAACCTGGGTTGATTTGGGATAGTTAAAATACGGTTGAACCAGGTTTTGTGTATATTGCTTTTACGGAAATTCTCTGAGAGCATGTTCCGGAATTGGAACTACTTGAACTTGAACTAAGGTGTGATACAGAGTACCTGTCCGCGGACAATTGACTCTTTCATCGAAGATTGTGCCCGTGGGCACCTGGAATATTGTCTATATGGGTGTAGGTATTCCACAGTGCGGCTGTGGATGTCTTGGTGGGGTGAGCTCCGCCTCTACGTCTTTTCTGTGAGCAGAGATCTAAGTAGATTCTGAAGATCTGGATCCTTGAGAAGCTGCTGCATTTCCTTGAATAACAAAAGGAACCTAGTTGCTTTGTCTGTGGTTTTGATGGGCTTTGCGGGTCTGCTTCTTGGTTTTCTTTTGGGTCTTGCACCACAGTCCGAAAAACAGGCTGGTTGCTCACCTAGGCAGTTTGCGCATTTAGCTGGCTCGCTCTGTGGTTTTGTACAAGTGTACGTGAAATGTGCATTGGTACACTTCATACAGGCAGGCTCAGCTGCGCAGGTCTTTTGTGTATACCCGAATTTCCTGCATCGGTAGCATTGTATTTCGTGGCGCCCGCCACGAAATTTTTCTATCCTAACAGGAGTATCTAAAAGTCTCTTGATGTTGAAAATATCACGATGCTTTTCACTATCTGGTAGGATGACTAGGTAGAGGGGGAGGAGCTTAAGGTCCTGGCCCCGCCTCTTCCTCAACTGTTCGATTCTGGTTGGCCGTTGCTCTAAATCTGTTAGTTCTTTTTCGAGATCAGGAATTACGATTTCTTGACTAAGTCCTCGAATGAGGGCTTTCAAATATCTACTGATGGGCTGTAGAATTTCCATCGGTTCGTTGTTTACTGCTGGAGTCTCGACGATTGCCGGGGCAGCAGTATCAGTTGAATTGGATGGGGACTCCTCCACTGTAGCTGTGGAGGCGATCTTCTTCTTAGGGCGAATGGGTT